TACCAGCTGGAGTGTAGCCGCTTGGCCTTGCCCCGCCGGGTGGCCATGCTGCCCACTGGAGCCACAGCGGGCCCTCCTGTTTCTGTCTGCCTTCAGTTTTGTAGGTATTTCCCTTCCCATCCTTAGTGATTTAGTTTTATTTTTTCAATGTGTAGGACACTAATATGCTTTTTGTTTTGTTTTGTTTTGTTTTTAAGATTTTATTTATTTATTTGACAGAGAGAGAGAGACAGCGAGAGCAGGAACACAAGTAGGGGGAGTGGGAGAGGGAGAAGCAGGCTTCCCGCTGAGCAGGGAGCCCGATGCGGGGCTCGATCCCAGGACTCTGGGATCATGACCTGAGCTGAAGGCAGACGCTTAACGACTGAGCCACCCAGGCGCCCCCTAATATGCTTTTAAAAGTAAAAATTCTACCAACAAGTGGTTTCAGAAGAGCATCGCTCCCTCTGTGTCCCTTCCGCTGTCCTGACCCCGGGCGGGAACCGGCGCCGTGGCTCCCGGGCTGCTGCGTGTGTGTGCAAGTGCACACGTGTGTGTGTTCTTGTCTCCCGTTCAGCGCGCGGGGGGCTGACTCCGCGTGTGTCCCTGCTGTCACGCCAGGCCGGCCACAGAGCGCTTCCCCCTCCTTTGCCAACCGCATGCGCTCCATCGCGCCCCACAGCTGTTCACGGATTTCCCGCGTTTGGATAGCTCGGCAGTTTGCGGGGCCTTGCCCCCCTTGTGGGGGCGCCGTCCGAGCGCTTGCTCGCTTCGCACTGTGGGGCTTGTCCTCAAGGTGCGCCCAGAAGGGCTTGCTGGATCGAGGGCTGGGACGGTGACCCTTGCCGGGAGTGGTGTTGTCAGGCTCTGGGGTCTGCTGCTCGGAGGGGCGAAGTGGCATCATGGTGAGTGACCATGAGTGAAGTCAAACGGGTGGTTGTGTTTGTGGGTCGCCTGTTCACTGCTTCTGCCCGCTTTTCTGTAGTGTTCTTGCAGTTCTTCTTTACATGTTTTGCTCTTTGTGAGTGAGGGCATCTGCTCTCTCAGGTGAATTTGCAGATGCCTTCTCCCACTTTGCCATCCGCCTTTTCACCACATCCCCGTTTCTTTCCACGTCTTCGTCTGCTCTGGAGGCCCTAACAAAATGCCGTGTGAACCTCAGACACGTATCCCTGCAGTGCTGGAGCCCAAGTCCAGGGTCAAGGTTTGGTTCTGGTGAAGCCTGACCCTGCAGCCGCTGCCCCTCCCACTGTGATGCCTCCAGAGCTGGGGTGGGGAGGTGGTGGGGGGCGGGGGGGGCGTGGCTGCAGACAACCTTTCCCGGAGTGCTGATTCCTAAAGAGAGCTGCCTTCTCCCAGGGCCCCTGGGGACCCCCTCACGGAAGGACCAGCCCTGGCCCCCGTACAGCCCTTCTCTGGAAAGTCAGCTGCTCTAAAGCATGCAGTCCCCTGTTGACCTGTGGGGGGGCCCCCGGCCCCGAGGAGTGGAGGGGCCGTGTCCACAGGAAGGGATGCCAGGCCGCCAAGTCTGAGCCCTGCCATCAAGGAGAAGGTGGAGGGAAGCAGAACAAGGCAAGGGGCAGGTTCTCCCGAGGAAGGCCGTGCACGTACCAGGGCCACTGGGCCGCAGACTCCGTCTCCAGAGGCCCGGAGGCCGCACGCCTGTCCCCCTCACCAGGCACAGCTCCAAGCTCAGGACCATTTTGCCTTTGCTTCTTTAATTCATTGTCAAGTGACCACCTTTTTTGCAAAGAGGACCGAAGCATTATGACCCCTTTAGCCAGGGTGAAGAATTGTTCCAGGTTATGGAACTCTCTTAAAACCACAGCCCTGCTTGTCACTGCTCATGTGTATGTTTACAAATACTGTCCTTGGCGGAATGAAACGACTGTTTCATTCAGCTGCCGAGTTCACTGTCCGTCTGATTTACAAGAGGCTTTGGCATCTAATTGACCGGTGTCTGGAAGGACGACTTCGGGCTGATGACACCTCTCCTGTGAGCCTTTGCTTTGTCCGGTGGCATCACCCAGGCCCTGGGTACCTGTCTCTCTCCTGACCCTTCACTTTGTAGGCTCTCAGGCCTTGTGCAGTGCACCGCAGTGTCCAAGGACTCGGTGTCCTTTATGGAGAATGCTGAGAAATGGGTAGCCTGGAGGCGGCCTTGCTCCTTGCTGGTTATCCAGCTCTCGCTGCTCTTGCGTGCCCGCCTGTCATGCGGGTGGATACCTGCCCCTCTGGAGGACGGTCCTTGGTCCCTGCCGCCTGCCGTGGTGGTGGGCGTTCTTGGGGCCGGGGTGCAGGTCACACAACAGACGCGCCTGCACCCAGCCCGGGGCTGGGTTCCCTCCGGAGGCTCCAGGGGAGAATCTCTGCTGCTTCTTGCAGGTTTTGGCAGCTGCTCTGCCCCCTTGGCTCACGGCCGTGTTGCTGCAGTTTCTGCCTGCACGTGGCCTCCCCTCTGTCTCTCGGTCTCAAATCTCTTTCTGTCCTGCTTGTAAGGACACTTGTCATTGGATTTGGGGCCCACGTGGATCATCTAGATCTCCTAATCTCATAATACCTACTTACAACTGCATGGACCCTTTCTCCAAATCAGGTCACAATCGCAGCATCCAGGGCTGAGGCTGTGGACCTGCCTTTTTGAAGCTGCTGTGGAGGCCCCCACAGGGAGCCAGGCTGTAGCATTCCCGGGGGTCAGGGTTGTTGTCTGTCTGGGTTCTGCCTGGTGGATGTTGGTGGCCCTTCTGTTCCACGGCAAACCCGGCTTAGAATCCAAGTATACTCCTTTGGCCTCTTACATATTGTTTGCTGTTATGATTAAAAGTCTAAGTGGGGAACAATTCAATGGTTTTCTTCTCTTTTTTTTTTTTCTTTTCATGAAGCCAAACTCAGTTGGGCAGGATAAGATGTTATGAAGTAACTGACTTTATCTCAACCACCAGAATTCACCGACAGGAGGAGCCTTGTCATGTTGACCAGTTAAATAGTTGCTCTCGCTCTGCCCACCTGCTTGGTTGTGCCTGACCTCCTCAGAGCCAGGGACCGGGCTGGGGGGATCCGAGGGGCGTGGGGTTGGGGAGCTTCTCGCCTGTAGGTGTCACCCGGGCCTGGTGGAAGAGAGCGCGGGCTAATACGTGGCAACCGAATTGCCACTGAACCCTAATTGTTGCAGAAATCTTTGTAAAGGAGTGATCAGTGACTCGCTGTCTCTTCTTGTTGGAGCTGTTAGAGACAAAAGCGAGGGGAAGTGGATATGTGTATAACTGTCAGGTACTCCGCACAGGGGAGAGCTATTATTGATCAAGAACTAGGAAACCAAAGGAACTGTGAAATTGGAAGACTGCGTATCAGAATCACCTAATTTGAAAGATTAAACCAGAAGGACCTGCACAAATAGCATGACAACTTGGATACATATTTTATTTTTGATTCTGTAATGAACTGGATTTTTTAAGGAGATGGCTGTTTACAAAAGTAGTCTAGAAATGATTGAATCTGCATAGTTTTTTTTTTTTTTAAAGATTTTATTTATTTGACAGAGAGAGACACAGTGAAAGAGGGAACACAAGCAGGGGGAGTGGGAGAGGGAGAAGCAGGCTTTCCGCTGAGCAGAGAGCCTAATGCAGGGCTCAATCCCAGGACCCTGGGATCATGACCTGAGCCAAAGGCAGATGCTTAACAACTGAGCCACCCAGGCACCCCGCATAGTTTTTTTTTAGTGGCCAATTTTGCTAATACATTTATAGTAACTTTTTTTTTTTATTCTTATGTTAATCCCCCATACATTACATCATTAGTTTTAGATGTAGTGTTCCATGATTCATTGTTTGTGCATAACACCCAGTGCTCCATGCAGAATGTGCCCTCCTCAATACCCACCACCAGGCTAACCCATCCTCCCACCCCCCTTCCCTCTAGAACCCTCAGTTTGTTTTTCAGAGTCCATCGTCTCATGGTTCGTCTACCCCTCCAATTTCCCCCCCTTCATTCTTCCCCTCCTGTTACTTTCTTCTTCTTCTTCTTTTTTTTTTTTCTTTACATATATTGCATTATTTGTTTCAGAGGATTTATAGTAACTTTTTGAAAAAGATTTTATTTATTGGGGTGCCTGGGTGGCTCAGATGGTTAAGCATCTGCCTTCAGCTCAGGTCACAATTCCAGGGTCCTGGGATCAAGTCCCACATCGGGCTCCTGGCTCGTTGGGGAGCCTGCTTCTCCCTTTCCCTCTGCCTCTCCCCCTGCTCATGCTCTCTCTCTCTCTCTGTGTCTCAAATGAATAAATAAAATCTAAAAAAAAAAAAAAAAAAGATTTTATTTATTTATTTGAGAGAGAGACAGCACGAGAGCCGAAGGCAGATGCTTAACCGACTGAGCCACCCAAGTGCCATCAGTAATTTGGTTTTTATTTATTTATTTATTTTTATTTTTAAAAATTTTTTTAAAGATTTTATTTATTTATTTGAAGAGAGAGACTGAAAGAGCACATGAGAGGGGGGAGGGTCGGGAGGGTCAGAGGGAGAAGCAGACTCCCCGCCGAGCAGGGAGCCCAATGCGGGACTTGATCCAGGGACTCCAGGATCATGACCTGAGCCGAAGGCAGCGCTTAACCAACTGAGCCACCCAGGCGCCCAGTAATTTGGTTTTTAAAGAGCAGTGGATTTAGAGTCAACTTGCAGTCAGTACAGTTTGATGTCACCGTCATCAGCTAACGGGATGGGGAGCAGCAGGTATCTGGCATGTGTTGAAAGTGTTGAGCAGAGTCACATGTGTAGGCTTCTTACTTTGCTGGTTCTTTGTACTTCCAGGATGTGGTGGTGATCTCATTGAACTGGCAGGGACCCAAGTCCCCGCTCACCCCTGTGACCGGGGCAGATGGGGTGGTAGCCTAGCCCATGAGCTGAAGTTTGGCTCAGAATAGGCCCCACTGAAGTGAGGTTGGTCCACTTATGATGGGGCCTCAGGAAGAGGAATTAATTCAAGACCAGATGCTAACTCTGGACATTTCTCCCCCTGTGACTGAGGATCTAGCAGGACGGACGGGAGACCGTCGGGCAGAGGAACAGGACCGCCTGACTGGGGTGAGACGAACATCCTTCCTCTTCCATGTTGGGCACTGCCCGCACATTCCCTCGGCTGCGCCGCGGCCTAGCTGACCATCGAGCCCTCTATGCTGGGCTCCAGCCAGAGTCCTTTGGTGTGCGTGTGTGACAGTCTGCCTCGGGCAGATCCTGGCCGTGACAAGGGCATGGCAGCTTACCCCCGTCCCCCAAGTAAGCGGGGTCCCTTGGGAGCCCCAGCTGCTCTGCTGCAGACTGGCCTTCTTCTGTGGCTTCGACACGGCCCGTGTCCGCGGCCCCCCCTCGGCTTCTCTCTCCTTGGGGACGATGTCTTTTACCGTCCCTGATGGGGCATGGGCTTCCTTTCCTTCCAGGAGTGTGAATCCCCCCCCAGGCTGCCCACCCTCTCCGTGCCCGGGGCCCGGATGGGGAGGGCTGCCTGGCTTAGCGGATGTGGCTGGTGGTCTAGGGACCAGACGGGGTCACCCCGTTCCTCTTCTGTCCTCACCGCAGAGGGGAGCGGACAGCCCTCTGCTGCCCGTGAGGAGGGCCTTAGGAGGCGGAAGGCTGTGCTCACGCTCCGGTTACTGCCTATACCTTCCGGTTTTTCTCCTCCCGCATCACCAGTGTCACCGCCAGTGCCAGGTGGCGGGCAGAGGCGGGGTGGCTCCTGACCCCGGGGCTGGACTGTTTCAGTGTGACTCTGGTCAGGACGGCTGTGCGCCGGGGCTGGAAAGCGCCTTGCTGGGCTTCCAGTCCGACCGGCTTGCCGAGGGCCCTGTGGCCTCCGGCCGAGAGCCGGCCTTCCTGGAGTCCTGATATGCTGCCTCCCGGGGAGCCTGTGGCCTCTGCCAGTCGGGGGCTCGGCGGAGCCGGGGTATCTGACGGTGCCTCTCGCACGGCGGCCATCGCAAGTCTCAACTGCCCAGCTGAGCAGGGGTTCCAGGCCTGGAGTGTGGCTTTATTTGTAATTCTGAGTGAACCGATGAAGCTTAATGGTACCATTAAAACATGCTGAGTCAAGCCTGAAACCGTATTTGAGAAAATGACTTTTCCCTAATCCCAGGTTTTCCTTAGTGTCTTCATTGCTTTCACTTGGCCAGTGATAGAGAAGGCGGAAGAAGGAACGGCACAGAAAATTGGGCCTGGCCGGTTTCCCAGGTACACAGAGTCACATATGTGAAATGTACCGTTTGTTATGAGCGGAAATGTAGCTGGAGAAAATGTGTGTGAATAATACCAAATTGAATTCCACGTGCATCCTTCATTATCACTAACACCAAGCGTCATTCCTAGTGTTTTCCTAATGGATGTGGGTAGATGTGGGCAAGAGACAGCGTGCTTACAGATCTGCACAAAGAGCCTCGGGGAATCGGTGGTCGGAAGGATGGTGTCGGTCTTTAAAAGAAAAGCCGCTGCTGCCTTGAGCCAGAAGGGAGATCCATAGAGGAGAGGGTGCTGGTTAGGTTGGCAGGGTGGTCTCAAGGTGGGCGGCTACTTCCCTGCCCTCCGAACTTCTGTGTCGTGCCCTCCTGCTCTGGTTCCTTCTGCGTGACCCTGCCTGGCCGAACTGCTCCCTCGTGACATCTGCAAGGTGGGTCTCGTGTAAGTCATGCACCGACGCGCGTCGTTTCCCTTCTAGGCAGCCTCGGTCACCTCTCTATCCAGCGTGGCGTGTATGCACATGGTTCGCTGGGCTGTCTGGAACCCCTTGCTGGAAACCGGCTCCGGGAAGGTGATCTTACCTCTGCAGGGTGGGATCCGGCCCAACCCCTCGCGCTGTCTGGTCTATAAAGTACCCCTGGCCAGCATGAGCTCCGAAGAGGTAAGTTGTTCAGATACTTCGTGAGTATGATTCTTTGCCCGTGAGCTTCTAGCAAGTTCATACATTTTCAAAACCAGAAGTTGACAGGTTTGTGGATGTGTCATGAGCAGAATTTTTTCATCTCATGGATGTGCCCTTAAAGGATGAGCATGATTGCTGACTCACGTCAGCTGTGAACTGAGGTGAGTTTTTATCTTGGGGCTTAGGACATCCCCATTCACACATCAGTCTCGCAAGATGGCCAGAGGGCCTGTGGCTTTTATTTGTACACGCTGTGCAAACAGGGTCCACTTCTGTGCTGTGCGTGTCCATGTGGAGGATGGGCCTTGTGCGGTGCCAGGGCCGTGGTCAGCGCCGGGCAGTGGGAGTCAAGCCTGGCTCATCTCTGTGACTAGTTTCTCGTGCCTGCTGGCCCTTGGCTCCTTCCAGCTTTGCATGGAGGGCAGGCCACAGCAGGAATTTAAAAATCCATGTTTGGAATGAAACTTTCTCTGAACCCTGGTAGAGAAGACAGGTACAGGGGGGTGGGGACGGTTGAAGGGTGTGCGAGGGGTCTGCTCTGCCAGCCACTGCCAGCCTCGCCCGATGGGTGGCAGGGACCCAGGGAGCCACAGGTACCGCGGGAAAGTGCTGCTGGCGACGGAAGCCCATCCCGATGCCAGCGTCACCCAGTGTCGCATGCAGGGTGCTTGGATCTGCCCGCGCTCCTGAACCGCGCTCCGTCTGTCTCACGGTGTGGCGAGGAGCCTTTTACTGCTCACCCGTCTCATTTTTCTTAGGTGAAGGGACCGTCCCTGGCCCTTCAGAGAGTCGTCTGTGTGCTGACCTAGCAACAATGTTATTTTCAGTATTGTTATTTATCATGTGGGTAATGCTTTGCAGACCTGGATAAGGGAACAGCTGATTGTGCAGCTTTTCTTATTACGGGACTGTCTCATTATGGGACCGCATTTTGCTGCATTCCCTCACAGACTAGTCTGAGCCCTTATTGTAAAACTGCCATTAGAGATCCTGAAGCCGTTGCCTCTCTCTCTCCCTCTTGGTATGTATATATGTATGTATTTAAATATTTATTCTTTTTAATTTTAGCCTTGTCATGCCATGACATTCCCTTCACTTTCTAAGTGTGTAAACTGTATTGGGGGTAAGTGTTTGGAAGACTTGACTATCTTGAGGACACAAATATATCAAATACTGCCATTTTTCACAAGGAATGTCACTTCTAATTGGGGTTTCTCAACCTCAGTGCTGCTGACATTTTGGGCCAGATAATTCTTTGCTGTGGGGATTGTCCTGTGCTTCAGAGGATGTTTATACCCAGCCCTGGCCTCTACCCGCTAGATGCCCATAGCGTGCCCCCACCTGCGACACACTGAGTTGTCTGTGGACATTGCCAAATGTCTCCCGAGGGCAGAATTGCCCCTGGTTGAGACCACTATTCTAAGCATCTATAACTAACCTAAAATAATGAACCAAACTGGTCAGAAACTTAATTCTGCTTCCTCCTCTGCTTCTTCCTGCATTTGTCTTCTCCAGCACCGTCAGCCTCTGTCCAGGCAGACGGTGTGGAGGCCCATGTGTGCCTCGTCTCTGCCCCCACCCGGGCCATTCTGTGTCTTACTCGTCCATTCAGTGAACTTCTACTGAGCACCTATATGTACCCTTGGAAAAACATCCCCGATCCCATGAACTTACCCTTAAGGGGAAGTGGCAGATATTAATCAGAGGAAAATATAAATATTAGAAACATCCCATAATTTTTGGCTAAGTAAATTTGGGGGTTTGTGTTATGATTATTTCAATGTTATTTCCTGTATAAGTAAGTAGTGTATTATGATTGTTTTCTTTCTTAAACAATGCCTGTATTTTTCCAAGTAATTGTCTTTTAAAAAAATTTTATATCTCCAGAGGCAGCCACTTTCAACCCTTAGCTGTGACTTATGGTGTTTACTTTGTTTCCAAATATTATGCTTCTATTGCTATTTCTTAGTTTATCAATTTTAGATATTATGTATTGACTTCCAATAATGATAGATGAGAACTTTAGCTTTTAGATACACTCCTATGCTCTTTAAAGAAACCACTCTGTCCTCCTACTGTGTGGCCTTGGATTCAGGGACTGTTTGTTGCCAGAAGCGTGCAGCACAATGGGGTCTGGCTCGAGGGTTGTGAAGCCCCAGGGAACTGGACCAGTCTGGGAGAGGGAGGGGCTTGGGAAACAACCCCATAACATTGTTTAAGAAATGCTGGGTTAACCCTCAGGCTGCACATGCCTGAGTCTGACCCTGAACTGCTGTACCAAAGACCCAGAGAACTGACTGGATACACCAACCCCATCCCAGTGTTGCCCTGGGTGGATCACATGCAGGAGGGATCCGAATAGTTCTGCACGGGTTTGACAACCCATAGAAGGCTGGTTGGAAAATGCGGCCTGAACCTATTGTGCTGGTTTCTGACGAAACAGAAATATCAACATACTCCACAGGATTTAAGTGAGACTCAGAATCTCCTAACATAATATTCAAAATGTCTGTGATATAATCTAAACTTAATTGACATGCAAAGAACCAGGAAAATCTCAACTTTTAGAGGAAAGACACTCAACAGACACCAAAACATTCCATGCAAACACTAATCAAAAGAAAACAGGAGTGTCTGTATCAACACCAGATAGAGTGGACTTTGGAGCAAAGGAAATTTCCGGGAATTAAGAAAGATATTACCCATGATAAAAGAGTCAATTCACCAAGGAGACATAGCAGTCCTAAAAGTGTGTGCATCTAACACAGAGCTTCAAAATACATAAAGCAGAAACTAATTAGTAGAAGTGAAAGGGCAAACAGACAAATTTATGGTTATAGTTGGAGACTTTAACACCCCTCTAAGTAAACCAGGGAACACATGGAAAATCACTGAGGACACGGAAGAACTGAATGACATCATGAACCGTCGGGATCGACATGACTTCTATAGAACCCTGCACCCAACAGCAGCAGAACGCACATTCTTTTCCAGTGCACAGGGAACATGCAGACAGACCGCATCCTGGGCCATAAAACAAACCTTCACAATTTCTAAAGAATTGGAATTATACAGGGTATGTTCCGTGATCATAATAGGATTAAACCAGAAGGCAATAACAAAGATAGGGGTAAAAAGTATGGGCACTTGGGAAGTAGACAATACATTTCTAAATAATTCATAACTCAAAGAGGAAGCCTCAGGAAGAAATAGAGGATGTTTTGGACTAAACAAAAATGAAAATACATCAGAAGGTGGAGGGTGCAGCTGATGAGTGCTTCCAGGGAAATTGATAGCATCAGGTGCTTGTATTAGTACAGAAGAATGGTCTCCATTCAGTAATCTTATCTTCCACATGTAGGAGCAAGAGAAAGAAGAACAAACTAACCCTAAAACCAGCAGAAGAAAGTGGTAATAAAGATAAAGAGCAGAAACCAATGACATTGAAAACAGAACAGTACAGAGACAATAGAGAACAAAAATAGAGAAAATCAATGAAACCAAAAGTGGATTCTTTGAAAAGATCAATAAAATTGATAAACGTCCAGAAAGAGCTACAACAAGAGAGGACTCAAATTGCTGATGTTAGGAGTGGAAGAAGGACCATCACTGCTGGCCCCACAGGCATCAAAAGGACAGTAAAGGAACACTGTGAGCAACTCTGTGCCTATAAATTTGGCAATTTAGATGAAACGGATCAATTTATCTTAAACCAGAGATTATCAAAACTCACCCAGGATGAAGTAGACAAACTGAGTAGTCCTATGACTATTACAGAAGCTGAATTTGTGGTTAAAACACTTTTGAGAAAGCAATATCCAGGCCTATTCACTCTGAATTCTACCAAACGACTTAAAGAAGAAAGAAGAGCAGTTTTATTCAATCTCTCCCAGGAAATAGAAGGATGGGAACAATTCCTAATTCACATAATGGGGCCTGTACTATCCTGATAACAAAATTAGAGAGAGACAGCATAAGAAGACCATGGACACATGTCCCTCATGGACACGGCTGCAGAATCATCAACAGAACACTCATAAATTGAATCCAACAATATGGAAAGAAGACAACACCATGACCAAGTGGGGGTTTGTCCGAGAAATGCAAGGCTGTTTTTGTTTTAAAAATTAATAAATATAGGGGCGCCTGGGTGGCTCAGTCGTTAAGCGTCTGCCTTCCGCTCAGGTCATGATCACAAGGTCCTGGGATCAAGCCCCGCATCGGGCTCCCTGCTCGGCAGGAAGCCTGCTTCTCCCTCTCCCACTACCCCTGCTTGTGTTCCCTCTCTAGCTGTCTCTCTCTCTGTCAAATAAATAAATAAAATCTTTAAAAAAAAATTAATAAGTATAATTCACCATAGTAGAGCCTGAAGAAGGTAAACTGTATAATCATAGCAATTGACACACACAAGGCATTTGACAAAATTCAACATTGATTTATGATAAAAAAACTGTGAGCAAACTAGGAGAAGAGAAGCCCCTCCTTCTGCTTGGGGGCATCCACACAAACCCGTCAGTGAGCATCCTACTGAGTGGTGAGAGGTGGGGTGCCGTCCCCCTAAGATCAGGGTCAAGTGAGGGATGTCCACTCAGCATCCAGAATCTTGTTCAGCATTGTACCCGAAGTCCTAGCCAGGGCATGAAGGCAAGAAGACAAAAGACACAGATTGGAAAGGGAGAAACAGAACTGTACTTGTTTGCAGATACCATTGTTGTTTGTGTGGAAAATCCCCAGGGATCTACAAAAAAACCCTGCTAGAATAAATTAGTGACTTTATTGAGGTTGTGGGAGACAACAGGAGATCAAGATAGAAAAATCATTCATTTCTGTATGTTAGCAATGAAAAGTTGACAAGCAAAATAAAAAAAAAAAGCAATATTACTTACAAAGCCCTTTCCCTCAACGAGATAAATCTAATAACAGGGTGTTTACGGGATCTGTCTGCTGCGAACTGTAGCACGTTCCTTTTGCTGCATGTCACTATTCTTGTCGTGGTTACTCTTGGTCTTGGGTGAGATCACAGAGGACCTATGTAACTGGCGAGACACGACATCTTTATGGATGGGAAGATCCAATATGATAAAGATATAAATTCGCCCCTAATTCATCTATAGATAATGTAATTTTAATCAAAATCCCAGCAGGGTTTTTTTTTTTTTGTCTACATATAGAAAAACTGATCCTAAAATTTATACAGAAAGGCACAGGAATTAGAAGAGTCCAAAGAATTTTGACCAGAGCAGTGAAGTTGGAGGAATCACACCTGTTTGACATTTAGAGTAAAGCTTCTGCAGCCCCTGTAAAGGGCTGTGTGAGGGATTGGCACGTAAGTCAGGGGAACAGAACAGAGAGTCTAGAAGTAAACCACAGTGTCCTATAGAATGAACTCCACACACACCACATGACCCAGCAGTCCTGGTCCCGGAGACATGAAGACTTAGGTTCACACAGAAACATGTGCCCCAGGGTTTGTAACCACCCGCACTGAAAAGAGCCCAAAAGTTGCTTAAACGTGTGAATGCATGAATAAACCGTGCACGTCGTACCATAGAATGCCGCTCAGCAGGAAAAGGAACCGACGACGGATATGTCCTACTGCTTGGATGAGTCTCATCAGCATTGTGTGGAGTGCAGGAAGCCAGGCTCAAAAATGATCTGTCATATGGTTCCATGTATATGACATCCTGGAAAGACCAGGCTGCCGTGATGGAGGGCAGCTCAGTGACGGTGGGGCCAGGCGGGGGCAGCACGAGGGAGTATTTGGGTGATGCACCACTCTGCGCCCCGATTGTGGTTGTGGTTACATGTGTTAAACAGAACGATACACCCACATTTAAAAGGTCAGTTTTACATAGGGTTGTTTAAAAACACAGGCAGACCTGGAGAAATGGGATTTCTGCTTGTGTAAGAGTCTTCCCTGCTAATGTGGTCTTCTGGGATGTTAATGCCACGGCTGACTGTTTCTGCTCAAGAAGTGACTTGATTATAATCTAAACACACGAGGCTTCAGCCGTCCCTGGGTTGACGTCGACTTTGGGCTGGGGGAGCCATTTCTGGCTGTAACACAGGGGCACTGGTGAAGGGAGGTGGCTGCCATTGTTCTCACTGTGTCAACCGTAGGTGAAGCAGGTGGAGTCGGGGACCATCCAGTTCCAGTACTCGCTGAGCCCCGAGGGACACCTGGACACAGCCACGGGGCTCGTCCACAGCCCTGAGGCAGAGCGGCAGCCTTCCAGGAGGCCACCCACATCCCCTGCAAGTAAGTGTTTGCAGAGAACTGACTTTTCGAGCGCATGGCATGACTTTATCTGTTCCCGAGGAAAAATACTTAGTCCAGTACAATAACATTTATTCGGTAATTGCCACAGATGGCTTTAATTTGGGTCCGTTGGCTGAGCTTTTGCTTAATATGGAGGTAGAGAGTTGGACGGTGCCAGAGTGTGGCCCAGCACCTTGTCACCTGTTTCTCACAGCCCTCTGACCTAAGGCCTGTGGAAGGCTCTGCCGGTGACACTCAATGGGGCAGGTAGCATGGGGCCCTGCAGACGCGGGCTCGAGAGTTAGAGCGTGGCCAAGAGCCACGGGCTGCCGTCTCTGGGGCTGTTAATGTGCCGGCCATTTGTTGTTCTGGAAAGTTGCTTTCTACTCCCTGGAAGCGCTATCCGGGAGTGGGGTGTCTGATCTCAGCTTGTGGCTTTGAGAAAGGGAGCGAGGGATACCAGGAGAGTGACGTCCTTCCTGGGGGCAGTGACGTGTCCGTGTGGGTGCGGGTAGCGAAGGAGCGATGGCTGCTGGGCTTGTGTCTGGCTGGCTCAGCGCCGCTTGGCCTCCGCCCAAGGACCCCTGAGCCAGCGTCTGACTGAGAAGCCCACCTGTCAGGCCCCCGCAGGGGTTTCGTCAGAGGGGTGTTGAAGAAGTTCACTCTGCAGGGCACTGAGCCCTGGCCCGAGGCTTCTAGAGATCGCTCCAGCTGAAAGAATGTTCTAGATCATAGGAGGTTCATCTCTTAGAAAGTTAGGAAGGTAGGGAATGAACAAATGTGTAAGCCTGCAGAGGGGAGCTCAGTCCTGGTCTGTCTTCCCGATGGACGCTGCTCGTCTCCAGGGAGGACCTGCCGGTGTCTTGGCTGCAGGCGCTGGAGCAGAGGCACTGGTGGGTCTGGGACTCGTTTGGGGCTGATTTTTTATGAGTTGAGATTCTAGTTTATGGAAACTGGTCTTGTTGAATTTAATTTGACAGTTGGGGGAAGCAGCCCACTTATTTCTTTGGCCTAGACCTTGACACAGTGGCCACTGTCTTCATGGTCTTCCAGGGTTTTCTGAGATACCTGAATGTATTCAGGTACCAGACAAATAGTCCGTTGCTTTGGGACAAACCACATCATTAAGCATTTTCCTACTTCTCAAAAAGGCAGTGCATTTGATGGTTTTAGTTGTTCTTTCAATTTTTGAATATCATGCTCACCAGCTTGTTCCCAGGATTTCTGTTTACCACCAGAGTGTCTATTGATAACCAGTCTTTAACGTCCGCAGCCCCACTGGCCGTGGGGCTGTTGCCAGAATATCTGCTGGAGTCCCTGCAGTGGTGGGTGGAAGGCATGTATTTTCTGTCAGGGTCCATGTAGAGCGTTTCCAGTTTTTCTTGATAAAGTTGAACGCCTTGAAGGCATGGAATATATCGTTTAAAAATACTAAACAAAGGGTGCAATTTATTTCCCATCCATTCTGTAAATCTAGCATCTTCCCTTCCTTGACGTATATTCGTAGTTACATTTTATTTTTTAATTTTTTTAAAAGATTTTATTTATTTATTTGACAGAGAGGGAGAGACAGTGAGAGAGGGAACACAAGCAGGGGGAGTGGGAGAGGGAGAAGCAGGCTCCCCGCCGAGCAGGGAGCCCGATGCGGGGCTCGATCCCAGGACCCTGGGATCATGACCTGAGCCAAAGGCAGACGCTTAACTGACTGAGCCACCCAGGCGCCCATAGTTACATTTTAAAAATAAAACAAATACCAACCTCTGAGAAAGGTAAATATGAAAGATAATGTCTCAGATTATAAAAACAGGTAAACATTGTGATTAAATATTTTTGATGAAGTTACTCAAAAAAGGACTGTAATGAAAGGCAGTAGGCGTAGTTCCTCTCCGTCTGCGGAAAAGCCTGGATGGATGGAGTCCTTGGAGGACACGCCTGCACAGCTAGCTTTGTGGGGAAGATGGAGTGACTTTTCCCAGAAAGGAGTTTTCAGGGGTTTAGTTTACGGTGCCTTCATGGTGCTGGAAACAAGCAGCTGGTTTCTTTGAAGACTTTCTGATCAAATTAATTCTAAGCAATGATGGGATTGCCTGGTCACTTGGCTGCCTCGGGCACGCACCAGGGGTATGGGCCGTGGGCTTGGGCTCACCTTCTCAGTTGCCTTGACTTGTCGTGTGCGGATCTGGGATTTAAACCTGGTCTGCCACTCCCTCTGCTTCCTAGAATTATCTGTTAATTGATTTTTTTATTTTTAAAAAAGATTTTATTTATTTGAGAGAGAAAGCGTGCATGCACGCAACAAAGGGGGGCGCGGGGGCAGAGGGAGGAGCAGGCTCCCCGCAGAGAAGGAAGCCCGACGCGGGGCTCGATCCCAGGACCCGGAGATCATGACCTGAGCTGAAGTCAGACGCTTAACGACTGAGCCACCCAGGCGCCCCCATTAATTGACTTTTTGCTTGGGATTCACGGAGATTCTTGGATCTCTGGGTTTATAGTTTTCATCACATTTGGAAAAATTTTTCATCCCATCCTTCAGTTTCCGCGTTCTCCCTCCTCTGCAGCCCCCGTCACACAAACGTCAGGCCTCTGGAAGTCCTGCTGCACGCAGCTCGCGGCGCTCTGTTCCTCGCACTGCTCTTGCTTTCTGCACTGGAGACGGTTTCTGTTGCCGTGTCTTCAGGGCCGCTCTCCTCTCTTCTGCGGCGTCTGGTCTCCCGTGCACGCCAGCCAGGCTGCTTCTCGTCACAGATGCCGTTGTTTCATCCCAGGAAGTTCTGTCTGGGTCCGTTTTACATCTTCCCTGTCTTCACAGGGCATGTTCAGTGTGTCCTCTAACTTTCTGAACACATGAAATGTAGGTTGTAACTCCTTTAATATCATTGTTTGTGAATTCTGATAATCTTTATTAGTTCTAGCTCAGTTTTTACTTATTTATTTTTTTGAGAGAAGGAGAGAGAGCGAGTGGTGAGGCCAGAGGGAGAGAGAATCTCAAGCAGACTCTGCACTGAGCATGGAGCCTGATGCGGGGCTCGATCTCATGACCCTGAGCTCGTGACCTGAGCCAAAACCAAGAGTCAGACACTTAATTGACTGAGCCACCAGGTGCCCCAATTCTCGCTCAGTTTTGATTGGGTAATTTTTATCCTAATTTGGGTTGTATTTTTCTGCTTCTCTGCTCTCAGTATTTTTTATTGGATTACAGATATTGTGAATTTTCCTTTATCGAATGCTAAATACTTTTGTATTTGATAAATACTCTTGAGCTTTGGGAACAGTTTGATCCTTTTGGATCTTGCCCTTAAGATTTGTTGGATGGGGGGCGCCTGGGTGGCTCAGTCGGTTAAGCGTCTGCCTTTGGCTCAGGTCATGATCCTGGGGTCCTGGGATCGAGCCCTGTGTCCAGCTCCCTGCTCAGTGGAGAGCCTGCTTCTCCCTCTCCGTCTGTCTGCCACTCTGCCTACTTGTGCTCTCTATCTCTCTGTCAAATAAATGAATAAAATCTTAAAAAAAAAAAAGATTTGTTAGATGGGACCAGATCAGCTTTTAGTCCCCACTGACAAGACCCCTTTGTGTCCTCTACCTGACATCTCCCGAATTACGAGGTTTTCCATTCTGGCCTGCGCAGTGGGCCTGTTTCTGGCCTCCTATAAGCACTAGGGACTGTTCCAGTGGCTCTTGCCCCAGCATTGGGTACTTTCCTGATCAGTCATCTGCTGGATCCTAGAGGGGACCCTCTGTAAATGAACAGAGCTCCCTTTCTGTTCACCTTGTCCTGTCTGGTGCTTGGCTCTGCACACTGGAGCTTCCTCAGTCTTGGACCCCCAGCTCTGTCTTCTCCATCAGGGGTCCCCTGTGCCCCATCTCCCTGCACCGTGACCGGAGACGCACTAACTGCTGTAAGCTGGGGCAGTTGCAGGGCTCCCTTCTTTTGTTTCCTGCCCCTCGGGATCACTGTCCTTTGTTGCCTGACTTCTATTGTCTTGAAACCTGTTGTTTCATATATTTTGTCAGCTTAAAAAATTTTGTTTCAGATGCCTTTGTTTCTGGTCACTGTTTCTTGACTCCATGTTGGTCAGAAGTAGACGTCTTTGCCTGCTGTTCATGGTTTCTGGGCTGCTGAAGTCCTCCACCTAGGGCTGATAGTCCCGTGGTTCTGAAAGTTTTCCCGGCTGCCTTGTGCTACCGTGATTCACTAGACATGCTCTGTGTTTTCGTGACTTTGAGTTGGGCTCATGCTCTCTGCTGGAGCGTATCTCCCCTGTGCACTGCATTTATTTTACTTTGAGATGGATTCTTTTTTTTTTTTTTTTTTTTAAATTGCATGGTTAAGAACAGCCAAGGCAGTTTTGAAGACGGAAAGCGGCTTCACCTTTCCTGATTTGCAGATGTATAGAGTTACAGTAATTAGAACATTGTGGCATTGGGACAGAGACAGACAGATAAGAAGATGCAATAAAGAGTGTGATGGATGGACAAGTTATAGATGAGTGTGTGCTTTACTATTATTGTCGTAACAAATTACCATAAACGTAAAGTGGCTTAAAATAGTACGAACTTACTGTCATACAGTTCTGGAGGTGAGAAGTCCAAAATGGGTCTCTCAGGCTGACGAAGAGGTCTTGGTGGGGCTGGTTACCTTCTGGAGGCTCCGGGGCAGACTCTGTCTTCTTTCCAGCCTCTAACGGCTGCTGGATCCTTTGGCCCCTTCCTCCCTCTTCAGAGGCACCGGGCAGTTTCCAGATCTCTCTCTGACTCTGATCTCCTGCCTCCCTGTCACGTATAAGGACTGTTGTGATTGCGTTGGGCAGACCCGATCATCCAGGAGTCTCCCCGATGAGCAGCCGTTGTTACAGGCTGTGCAACATCATTACGTTGACGGGTTCTGGGGATTTCTGGGGTGGGAGCATTGTTCTGCTTACCAGCAGGAGTAGGGAGGGACCAGTCGCTTAACCGTGCGGGAATGACTGTCCATAAGGGACATATAAAATTAGATCCTAATTTCA